TATACACTGGGTGGGAAAACATTGAACAGCATGCACACCAGGTATACTCTCGCCCTGGGATCAGAGACTGCCGTGAAGCAAGAAACTTAATATTGGTGCCAAAAAACTTTTCTGGTGGGTTTGTAATTTAGAAAGAAGTGATTACAGTGATGACTAAAAATCAGCAATATCTCGAGAGGAGAACCAAGATGGTGACATAGGTTAACGCTGGAGTTTGCTGCCTTGAACAACTACTTCAAAAGTGAAACTAAAAAACGGAACGGACATCACCCAGAACCACAGGAACGCTGGCTGAGTGGAAGTCCTACAACTAGGAGGAAAGAGAAACGCATACGGACACTCAGAGGAGGCGCAGTGCTGAAGTCAAATTCTGAGGTGCGGAGTGCGCGGAGCGGGCTGGCGGCGGAGGGCGCGGTTGGCGTTTTCAATCGGGAGGGAGTCGCAGACTCTGAGCTCCAGATCCCGGCGAGTCTTTAGGGACCCAGACTCAAACGGGAGAAGCGGGACTGTCTGGCTTCGGTCAGAGCGAGTGCAGCTTTCTCTCCGAGGTTTGCAGTTTGTGCTGGGACTCAGAGAGGCAGAGCCCCTGGGGACAGGACTGAGAGCCGCCATAACTGCTCTCTCCGGCCCACCCTGTTGATCCTGTGCGACCCGCCCTGCCCAAGCCCTGCACAGAGGCATTTGCCGGATAGCCTCAGGCAAAGGCTAGATTAGCACCTCCCTAGAGGACTGAAGTTCTCTCACTGCAGACACAGCTGATTCTCATAGCCACTTGGCCTGGAGGTCAAACCCTCCCTGGTATTAGCTACAACAAGGTTTAACTATAAGACTGCACACAAAGACCACTAGGGGGTGCACCAAGGAAGCATAACAAAATGCGGAGACAAAGAAACAGGACAAAATTGTCAATGGAAGATATAGAGTTCAGAACCACATTTTTAAGGTCTCTCAAGAACTGTTTAGAAGACGCCAATAAACTTAATGAGATCTACAAGAAAACTAATGAGACCCTCGATGTTATATTGGGGAACCAACTAGAAATTAAGCATACACGGACTGAAATAACGAATATTATACAGACTCCCGACAGCAGACCAGAGGAGCGCAAGAATCAAGTCAATGATTTGAAATGGGAGGAAGCAAAAAACACCCAACCGGAAAAGCAAAATGAAAAAAGAATCCAAAAATGCGAGGATAGTGTAAGGAGCCTCTGGGACAGCTTCAAACGTACCAACATCAGAATTATAGGGGTGCCAGAAGGTGAGAGAGAGCAAGATATTGAAAACCTATTTGAAGAAATAATGACAGAAAACTTCCCCTACCTGGTGAAAGAAATGGACTTACAGGTCCAAGAAGCGCGGAGAACCCCAAACAAAAGGAATCCAAAGAGGACCACACCAAGACACATCATAATTAAAATGCCAAGAGCAAAAGATAAAGAGAGAATCTTAAAAACAGCAAGAGAAAGAAACTCAGTTACCTACAAGGGAATACCCATACGACTGTCAGCTGATTTCTCAACAGAAACTTTGCAGGCCAGAAGGGAGTGGCAAGAAATATTCAAAGTGATGAATACCAAGAACCTACAACCAAGATTACTTTATCCAGCAAAGCTATCATTCAGAATTGAAGGTCAGATAAAGAGCTTCACAGATAAGGAAAAGCTAAAGGAGTTCATCACCACCAAACCAGGATTATATGAAATGCTGAAAGGTATCCTTTAAGAAGAGGAAGAGGAAGAAAAAGGTAAAGATACAAATTATGAACAACAAATATGCATCTATCAACAAGTGAATCTAAGAATCAAGTGAATAGCCGAAACCGGTTTGGCTCAGTGGATAGAGCGTCGGCCTGCGGACTGAAGGGTCCCGGGTTCGATTCCGGTCAAGGGCATGTACCTGGGTTGAGGGCACATCCCCGGTGGGGGATGTGCAGGAGGCGGCTGATTGATGTTTCTCTCTCATCAATGTTTCTGACTCTCTATCTCTCTCCCTTCCTCTCTGTAAGAAATCAATAAAAAATATATTAAAAAAAAAGAATCAAGTGAATAAATAATCTGATGAACAGAATGAACTGGTGATTATAATAGAATCAGGGACATAGAAAGGGAATGGACTGACCATTCTTGGGGGGGAAAGGGGTGTGGGAGATGTGGGAAGAGACTGGACAAAAATCGTGCACCTATGGATGAGGACAGTGGGTGGGGAGTGAGGTCGGAGGGTGGGGTGGGAACTGGGAGGAGGGGGGTTATGTGGGGGGGGGGGAAAGAGGAACAAATGTAATAATCTGAACAATAAAGATTTAATTTTAAAAAAGAAAAAAATAAAAATTAAAAAAAATAAATAAAAATCAGCAATATCTCATTACTTCTGGATTTATCTATGTGTGGTAGGTGACAGATTTTTAAAGATCTGGAAGAGAGCAGCCAAGATGGCTTAACAGGACTTCTGTAACCAGTGCGTGGCTTAAGAATTAGTTTTACTTGTGCCCTCCACCATCATTTGCAACTTTTTTGAGAAGACATGATCTTCCTCTGCCAAAGGGGTGAAGATGTAGGCAGCAGAGGATTTCTGTCTGTCTTCCTGTCACATTTAATCAGATAATCTCATTGTATTAAAGTGTCTAGTCACACCTAACTGTGGGAAGCCGCCTATTGTCTTCACTAGCAGAGAGGTGTGGACAAGGAGCCCGGAATGCTGGTGATCCTTGAGCCCTGGAAAAGGTCAGAGCTATGCACGACTGTTTAGTGGAGACAATGGTAGCTGAAGTAACTTCCTGACCAGATAGTCATGTAAATCTTTACTGATCAGATAATCTGTCTGTTACTGGAACTTGCCTGCCTAAGGGCTATATGTGTATCCCAAACTGAATAAAAGGATGGCAAGGCCTGAGCACAAGTGGAGTCCTTCCTCTTGCACTGGGCTCCCGCCTGGCCCCCAATTTCCAAATTATTATTTCTTGTCTCGTCTCTTGTCATTTGCGCGCAGCCCCTCTTCCAGAGCCGGAACCCTGAACCACGAGGGACGTGGGTCCTTCACATCTAACAGTCAAAACTACAAACTTGGCATTAACTTGCTAATTTGAGCTTGCTTCAGGCCTGAAACTTACAGCAGAGCAATGGGATGGAGTCCTGTGCTTTCTCTTCTTTCCTCCTCTTCAACTCCCCCACATGCTAGCTGTTCTACCACTGCCTCAGAAGCTGAGGGAGAAACACAAGAGAGAACACAGTTCTTATTTACCTGGTTGGCTCTGTGCTCTCTGGGCCTGCCTGGTGATGAGAGCTGGCTTTCTCTTGGGATGACACTTTCATGAGTTTGCCAGAGGTTCCTGCTGTGCAACCCTTCACCCTGGCAGATGCATCTCTACCCTCGCTGTTCACTTGCTGTTTTCTCCTGTCCTTAGGCACCAGGCAGTACATGCAAGTCCCTTTCTGCTGAGGTCTCCTTGGCTCTGCTGGTGGCCCATTGGATCATGTCCAATATGACCCCAACAATGGTCACTGGGAAAAATTCATGCATCCTTGGCCACGAGAAAGAACTGTCACCAAAGTAGCTTTGCCTTTCTCTCGCCCCCTAGATTTCCTAGCCGAGTGACATACCAGCTTTCAGCCCACTTCTGCTTTCTTTCCCAGTCCTGAGCTAGGCACCAGTTTTCCGGGTGTCCTGACTGCAGAGAACACATTTCCAAACTCTCTGAGTTGGCCCCGTGAAATCTTCCTCAGCTTATAATAGTGGGTGTCACTTCCCTACTCTGCTGCCAAAATGGGGGTTGGAACTCACAGCAACAACTTTATCCAAAAAATCTTTTTATCCATCTTCTTACCAAATCCTCTGTTCTCTCAAAACTTATATTCTTGAAGTAGATTAAGGGGCTCAAGAGCCATGAAACAAGTTCTCCTGTTTTCCCTTAGGATCCTCAAATTTGAGGCGGAAGAGTTCCATTCTAATAACTTGTATGTTAGTTACTTATTGCTGTAAAATAAATTACCCCCAAACTTAGTGGTGTAAACAATAAATATTTATTATGTTCACAGCTTCTCTGGACCAGGAATTCAGGAATTAGGTAGTTCTGGCTCAGGGTCTTGTGAGGTTCCAGTCATGGTATCAGCCTGACAAGGGCTAGAGGGTCACTTCCAGTGTGGTTCACTCACCTGGTTTGCAAGTCGGTGCTGGTTGTGAGTGGAGGCCTCAATTCCTCTCTCCTGGAATTCTCCACAGGCTGCTCCCGTGTTCTCAGGGCATAGCGGCTGGATTCCCGCAGAACAAGCAACAAGGCGAAAGCAGCACCTTTTATGATCTAACCTCAGAAGTCATATACTGTCACCTCTGATTGTTCAGTCATGTCAGCCAGCTCTGATTCACCATGGAAAGAAACTTCACAAAGGCATGGATACCAGGAATCTAAGATCACTGGGGACCAACTTGGAGACTGCTTGCCAAACCCTGTTACACTTAAAATGCCCATTGTACCCTAAAACAAACTGAACGAAGTAAACGAGAGACCATAAATTTAGATTGTTTTAATCAAAACTGCTTTGGAGCCCTGGCTGGGTGGCTCAGTTGGTTGGAGTGTCCATGCGTGCACCCAAAAGATCTCAGGTTTGATTACTAATCAGGACACACACCAAGGTTTCAGGTTCGATCCCCAGTATGGGAGGCAACCAATCAATGTTTCTCTCTCTCTCTCTCCCTTACTCTCTCTCTATAATTAATAAACATATCCTCAGGTGAGGATAAAACACACACACACACAAAGACCTGCTTTGGGGAATTCTTGATCTTCAAAATTTTATCTGCCACCTGGCGCTCCACATTTGTTCCTCATCTAAATGGGTCCAGGACTCTCCTTGAAGAAAAGCAGGACCCCAGCCTGATCTTAAGGGTTCATTTTGGCTTTCAGATCTCTGACTCTACATCATAATCAGAAAAATAAACCTTTGTAAATATCTTACAGTCGACATTTACACTGAATTTAAAATTTAATAAAAAGATTCTAAGGTGTGTCATTGAAAGAATCACCTCTGCTTTATTTATTTTACAGAGTAATGATTTAAATTGAATACATTTGGACACAGTAAATATTTGACATGAAAAGCAGTTGTATCAGAATAGGCATCAGAAAAATAGCAACTTATCTTACACATAATAACTAGAAAATATTTTTCTGTCTGATCATTTAAGTGTTACAAATCCTGAGAATGTTATACAATGAACAAACTAGGTACTACCTTATCTTGCTTGGAAATCATCTTTTAAAAAAATGCTTTGAGGTATAAATCACCTATGTATTAAACATGAGTCTTTTACATTTTACAAGGAGTTTAAACAGACATATCAAACAAGTTCAGTGGCTCTTAAAACAGCTATCAGTCAGGTTCAAGGACACACTGTTCCACGATTTCCCGTAAGTTGGGGTTCTCCATTGCAGCTGCCACTCGCTCTTTGTCATTTATCTGCTTGTTGACTGCAAAACACACAGACAAAAGTTAGCAGAACTGTGTCAATATGTGGCAACAGACAGTATTTTTCTTAGGCTGTTAAAAGAGAATTTAACTCCCTGAGAACTTAAAACTGATTTTAGCTAATTATTCAGAAGTTCTGGAAGGGAGAGTTAAAGAGAAAAATATCCCCTATAAGCCTACTATTCTACCACAACTATTTTCATTTCTTTCTTTCCAGCCTTTGTCCATATTCATACTGCCAGATGTTACACTCAGGGAAAATACAATTTTTTTTCTTAAAATATGGAACGCTTCACGAATTTGCATGTCATCCTTGCGCAGGGGCCATGCTAATCTTCTCTGTATGGTTCCAATTTTAGTACATGTGCTGCCAAAGCGAGCACAGGGTAAATACAATTTTGAAAGTTGCTCTTTTCCCCCCCTTAGTCTATTTTTTTTTTTAAGCTACAGGGTTATTTAATACAGCAAAAATTGTTAAGTGTTCTAAATTAATTATGAAGAAAAAATGAATCTATACTAATAAAAGGGTAATATGCTAATTAGACAGGAAGACCTTCTGGGAGAGCTTCCGGACAAAGCCATGGTGGCAGGGCCAAGGCAGAAGCAGGTTAGGGGCGATCAGGCTGGTGTGGGGAGAGGGGGAGGCAGCTGGGGCCAAGCAGGATGACAGTTGGGGGGCGAGCAGGCTGGTGGAGGGGGGCAGTTGGGGGCAAGCAGGCCAGCACGGTGGGCAGTTGGGGGCGATCAGGCCGGCAGGGAGGGCAGGTGGGGGCAAGCAGGCCAGCGGGGGGGGGGGGGGCATTGGGGGCAATCAGGCCAGCAGGAGGTGGCAGTTGGGGGCGAGCAGGCCGGTAGGGGTGGTAGTTGCAAGCAAACAGGCTGGCAAGGGGGACAGTTGGGGGAGATCAGGCTGGCAGGAGGGGTGTAGTTGGGGGCCACAGGGATCGGGCCTAAACTGGCAATCGGACATCCCCCAAGGGGTCCCAGATTGGAGAGGGTGCAGGCTGGGCTGAGGGACATCCGCCCCCCCCCCCCCGCATGAATTTTGTGCACCGGGCCACTAGTCTTAAAAAACAAATAAATTATAAACACTATGCTACAACAAGCACCTCTAAACATATAGCCTCCTTTTTGGAAAGATTCTTCAAAGTGGGATTATCAGAACCAAAAACATAAGCATTTTTATGGTTTGAATGATATAACTGAATTACTTCCCAGTATTTTTTTTTACCAATTTGTATTCTCAACAGCAATACATGAGGTATCAGTATGCCAGAAATACCCAGTATATTAAAAAACAAACAAAAACCAGCCCTGGCCAGGTGGCTCAGTTGGTTGGAGTATTGTCCTATACAGGTTGTGGATTTGATTCCCATTCAAGGCACATAACTAGGTTGTGGGTTTGATTCCTGGTTGGGGCACATACAAGAGGCAACCGATCCATGTTTTTCTCTCACATTGATGTTTCTCTCTCTCCATTCCTCTCTCTCTAAAATCTATAAAAACAAATCCTCAAGTGAGAAAAAAATCATATATATATATATATATATATATATATATATATATATATAAAACAGGTGAAAATTATATATGTAATAAAAAATTATATATATATCCTATCTAATAGTAGACAAACATGGTAGTTAACTATACCTTCGCTACGCCTCCTATTGGCTAATCAGCATGATATGCAAATTAACCGCCAACAAAGATGGCAGCTAATTTGCATAATGCAGGCAGGGCGGGCCAGCACGAGCCGCCATCCAGGCCCCCATGTGCTGCCTAAGCCCTGCCCCCAGCCGGGACCCCCGTCTGTGGCCCTGGGCGGCCGGGCTTGGCGGTGCGATTGGCTCAAGGAAGCCCTATTCTTGCAGGAATCCTCCTGCAACGAGCTTCTAGTATATATATAAAACAGGTGAAAAATAGTTCCAATGACTGTAATTTGCAATTTCTTGATTAATAGTGGGTAACATTCTCCCATGTGTATTTATTAGCTCTTCTTATATGAATGTTCTATTTATGTCTCTTTCTATTAATCTACTGGATCTTTTATATATTCTTATTGATTTCAGAGAGGAAGGGAGAGAGCTAGAGAGATAGAAACATCAATATGAGAGATAATCATTGATTGGCTGCCTCCTGCACACTCCACACTGGGGATCAAGCTCACAACCTGGGCATGTGCCCTGACCGGGAATCAAACTGTGACCTCCTGGTTCACAGGTGGATGCTCAACCACTGAGCCACGCCGGCTGAGCTGGATCTTTCCTTTTTTAAACTAGTTTGCATGGATCTTCATATCATAAAGGTTATTGGTCCACATTGGTTGTCTATAATTTGCTAAAAATAATCCTGATGGAATAGTCCAAGAGAGATTTCTATATTCTTTATTTTTTTTTTCATCTTCACCCGAGTATATGTTTATTGATTTTTTTTATATATATATATTTTATTGATTTTTTACAGAGAGGAAGGGAGAGAGTTAGAAACATCGATGAGAGAGAAACATCGATCAGCCGCCTCCTGCACAACTCCCACTGGGGATGTGCCCGCAACCAAGGCACATGCCCTTGACCAGAATCAAACCCGGGACCTTTCAGTCCGCAGGCCGACGCTCTATCCACTGAGCCAAACCGGCCATGGCTGTTTATTGATTTTTGAGAGAGAGAGAGAGAGAAACATCAATATGAGAAACATGGATTGGTTGCCTCCCATCAGCACCCCAAACTGGGATTAAACCACAACATTGGTAAGTGACCTGGTTAGAAATCAAACCCACAACCTATTTGGTGCAAGGAACAACACTCCAACCAACTGAACTGGGGGTAGGGCTATCCATATTCTTTGTAAAGATTTTTATGTATGTATGTATGAATGTATTTATTTATTTTTAGAGAGAGGAAAGGAGAGGGAAAGAGAGAAACATCAGTGTGAGAGGGAACACTGATGGGGTACCTACTCCACACCCTCTACCAAGGATCACGCCTGCAACCTGGGCATGTGCCTTAAACAGAAATCAAACTAGAAACCTTTCAGTGCATGGGATAATGCCCACCAACTGCGCCACACACCAGGGTGAGATGTCCATATTCTTAATGTGGGCTAACTTTTCTGGGATCCTGCTAAAATGTCACATGTAGAAAACTTATATATTCCCATATAAACGATTGCAATTCTGTTTCTTCCTACCATGTAGACTCCACAAGAGCAAGGATGTATCTCAAAGGTCAAACTGTGCCTACATAAAGAAAGCACTCAATAAATACTTCTAAAAAAGCTTAATACTATCCTATTATAAAATCTTATAACAAAGAGGAATTTCAAAGACATAACAAGAGTGGATTTAGGGAATCTAAGCTCTTTTATATTTTAAATTAAGAGGTAGAAGCCATCAGCTTATGGGATTTGAATAAATTTAATACATGAGGAGTAAAATAATCTACAGGTCTGGAACTGTGAAAGTAGGACATGGTTTTAGCAGTTTTCATGACAGTACCTAAAAAGTTTCCTGAATGGGCTGGTTCTCTGAAAGCAGTGGGCTTCCTTCCCTCTCTGCACCTCTCTTCTGTGTTCGTTTTTTGTGTGCATCTCTTCCTGTGTGTTTTTTAAGTCACTGTCTTCCGATGTGAGTCTGTCTTAGTGTAGCTCTTACTCTATTATTGTCCCTTTCTTCCCCTCCTCTGCTGTTTTCCAACTTCTCAATTTACTTAGTGATAAAAGCTAAGCACAACATGTATTTTACTTTTTTTAAAATATATTTTTATTGATTTTTTACAGAAAGGAAGGGAAAGGGATAGAGTTAGAAACACCAATGAGAAACATCAATCAGCTGCCTCCTGCACGCCCCCTACTGGGGATCAAGCCTGCAACCAAGGTATATGCCCTTGACCAGAATCAAACCCGGGACCCTTCAGTCCACAGGCCAACACTCTTATCCACTGAGCCAAACTGGTTAGGGCAGTGGTCTGCAAACTGCGGCTCGCGAGCCACATGCGGCTCTTTGGCCCCTTGAGTGTGGCTCTTCCACAAAATACCACGTGCGGGTGCGCACGTACAGTGCAATTGAAACTTCGTGGCCCATGCGCAGAAGTCGGTATTTTGTAGAAGAGCCACACTCAAGGGGCCAAAGAGCCGCATGTGGCTGGCGAGCCAGTTTGCCAAGCCGCAGTTTGCTAAGCCGCAGTTTGCTGACCACTGGGGTTAGGGCAACATGCATTTTAAATGTATTTTTCATTATTTGCACTCTATTGGTTATAGATAAAATTCTGTTCTCTGGAGGATTTTTTTTAATGTTTTTTTGTTTTGTTTTGGTTTTGTTTTTTTAGACAAGAGTAGAAAGGAGAGAGGGAGTGGCAAGGGGTGGGAGAGAGAGAGAGAAACAGAAACATGGATTTGAGAGAGACTCATGGATTGGTTGCCACCCACATGCTTAGGACCTGCAACCCAGGTATGTGCCCTTGACCAAGAATCGAACCCATAATCCCTGTGCATGTGGGCTGATGCTGCAACCTCTGAGCCACACCAGCCAGGGCTGTTCTCTGTTTTTAATGTAATACATAGGTTATACAGAACTTTTTGTCTTTTCCTTTTCCCAAACCCCAACTCTGGTATTTTTAAGTAGTTACTGATAGACTTCTCTCTGTAGGCCAGAGGTCCTCTATAGAAAAAAGGTTCCCTACTCCCATTTCATTTTATTATTATTATTCTAATCCTCACCTGAGGATGTTTTTATTCAGTTTTTTAGAGAGAGAGGAGGGGCAAGAAAGAGAGAGAGAAATATTGATGTGAGAGAGAAACAATGATTGGTTGGTTGCCTCCTGTATGCACTCCGACCGCAGAGTGAACCTGCAACTTAGGTATGTGCCCTGACCAGGAATCAAGCCAGCAACATTTTGGTGCATGCTCCTACCAACTAAGCCAGCTGGCCAGGGCCCCACTCCAATTTTAATACATTAACCCAGAAAGATAGCACCTACTCCAAGATTCTCTAAAGCTTTACTCGCTAGACCTTCAATTTCAAGTACACAGCTCTCAATCCTGCCACCAAAGAAAAGAATCAGTACTCTTTAGAGCTTGTAAGTCAAGTTTCCTAGAGCTGGATGTTCTTTACAGATGTGTAACCACTGGCCTAAACCAGTCAATATCCACAGGGCCTAACTCTAACTCACCCAGAGTCCTACTGAAAAAAATTACATTCATAAAAATGTCTGTTTCCACACCTCAAGAAAGCTACTAACTGATTTTTCACTTTTTTGCAAAAGACCCAATAGATACTTGGCTGGCGGAATAACCTGGTATTCCAGATAAAGTACTTTTTGAAGTTGTTTTTAATAATGATTCAAGATTCACTTACTGTCTTCCTCTGTTGAGTGAGTTCCTTCAGAAATGTAGATTTCCAACTAGGAAGAAAAAAATATTAAAAGCAAAACATTTAGGGCATTCTAAGATGATGAATGAAGTGGAATGTACAATGGACTCAACAGTCTAGGGAAGAAAGCCCAAATCCTGTTTCCATCATCAAAGACTTGGGAACAAAACCCTCAGATTCTTCCCTAAATCAAGGCCTTAAATGAGTAGGATTTTTAATTTTGGTGACCTGGGAAAGGTCTGCAGGGGGCATTCCATTTTTTAAAATAAAACTAATGTAATTTTATATAAATAAGATCTCATATGTTTTACTCATGGAAATCCCTCTCCTGCACTCTAATGCTTACTCCAAAATCATTATCTAAACTTGCTCCCTACCCCTCTCAAGAAAGCTACATTAATAATCTAGTGTAGTTTCTTCCATATTTTTCCTCTATACCACCCATAATCTAACACATATCTCACACACACGTACACCCTAAGGTTGGACATTCCTTTTTATTTCTTATTTTACAAAAATGGAATCACAGTATATAGTTCTCAGTATCCTCCTTTTCTCATCCATTTTTATCTTGACAAACTTATTCTCGAGTACAATATAGGTTAAACTAACCCTCCTGGTTCTGCTGTACTCACTCCCTCATAAGCTATCTTCCAAGAACCAGAGCTTTTGAGTCAAAACCCACAAAATTATTGCAAATCCTATGGGAAATAAATCATGTTATATGATAAAGACATGTTTAGTTTCCAGAGAAAAATGGAGCATATGAACTAATTCTTTGTTGTTTGTTTATTAATCCTAACCCGAGGATATTTTTTCCATGGATTTTTTAGAGAGAGTGGAAGGGAGGGGGAGAGATAGAGAAACATCAATGTGAGAGAGACACATCTATTGGTTGCCTCCCACATATGCCTTGACCAGGGACGGGGAGGGAAACTGCAACCCAGGTAATGCCCTTGACCAGAATCAAACCCACGACCCTTCAGTCCGTGAGCCGTGCTCTAACCAATGAGCCAAAACGGCTAGCGCTGAACTAATTCTTATATACTTATTTACTACTGAGATGTTTTTTATGAGTGAAAAAATTATAGCATATCATGGTTAAAGGAGACCTTAGAGATCATCTAGTCCAGTCTTTTTTTGGGGGGGGGAACCCCAATAAACAAGGATTTATTTGGAAATTTCTAAACCTGCCTAAAGTGGCACTTTCCAAACCCTAGGCCTACCTTCCTTAACAAGTTCTCCCCACTTCCCCCTGCCTTCCATCAAGCAAGCACACCCACACCTCAGGCCATGCCAGAGAACTTGAGTACCCCTTCCACTAGAAGGCTTTATAGCCCTGGACCCAAGAGCTAGGGTGGCAGCCCTCTGGCAACCCAGATGATGGCGGCCAGAGCCGCTGGCATAGATTGAAGAAAATAAAGGAGGAGGCACCAAATAGGACTCCCTAAAAAAACCCCACTTATCCCCTGTACAAAAAAGTGGGTCCCGCATAGGAGAACCTGCTCCCCATATAATGTAAATACCCAAAGGAAAAGAACAAACCAGTAACAAGGCTGGGCTAGTAGGAATGGCAAAGAACTTCAGTTTAGAAAGGCTAGGAAGACTGTAAGTTGTGTCCCTCTTCCTTGTCCAGGTCCCCAGAGCCAGCCAGGGCACTCGCCCCAGCGGGGAGTCTGTAAACAAGCAAAGCCAGGGGCCTTTGGTTTTGAAACCTATCAGTAATAATATCAAAGCAAGGCTTCCAGTAGTCCTACTTGGGCCTGCCTGCAGGGGGCAGAGGCATCCGTTGTGAACCCAATTAAAGCCAAAGCATCAAGTAAGTAATAAGGCTTTGGGGGTCAAGCAACAAGGAATTCTACCACTACATTTATGTAACTAAAGCTGAGAAGTAGGTGATAGGAGATACCCCTCACTCCCTTCTTTATCCTGTGCCTGTGTCTGCAGCCTCAAATGATGGTCCCTTCCAGGCTGAGAAGGAAGGGAGGGATCCCTGTTCAGTTAGGTCAGGCGAATTCCCAGCACCTGTTCCAGTTCCTGCCTTGGCCGCTGCATCTTGACAAAGATATGCCTTCCCACTGCTTCCTGGGTCCAGGGCTGGTGGTCGGAAGCATCTCATCTCTCAGGATTCCCAATCACATCAGAGATGATCTTGAGGTCTCAGTGCTGGGAACGAAGCCACTCCTGGATGGGGGGTCAGTGCTAAAGCTGAGCATGAAATCCCTCTGGGTCTTCAGCTGGTTGATGGACACAATGGTCTCATGGATCTTGATATCAAGGGAGGCAATCTCCTACTGATTGGTGATAGAGGCCAGAAAATTGCTCATCTGAGCCTTGAGTGGGTTGTCCACCTCCAATGGCATAACAAGCTGTCTTCTTCTGGTCATTAGGGTCCAACCTAAGGATATGGTGAGGCTGCTGATCCACATGAGCAAGAGGGTACACTTGACATTGAGATCTCCAGGTCATTTCACCTCGAAGCCATCCGCCTGCTGGGTAGTGGGCATCAGATGCCTCTCCAATAGGTGGTCGTCAGGTCAGTACAGTTCCTTCTCTAGCTCAATGACGAGACTCTTAAAGAATAAAGAGAACTTCCTCTTCTGTATGCTAGGATCATCCAGGAGTTTTCCCTCCGCTCAGAGTTCCCACCTTGTCCCCTGCTGGGGTTCCCTACAGTTCCTACACTGTCACCTTCTGCCTTGCTAGGACTGAACATATTGGAAATACAGATCCACAGCTTTCGTTTTCACAGCAAAGGCTTTTTGATGGCCTCCTGGATCTCCATCTGCTTGCAAGCAATGGTCTGGTCCAGCTTCAACTCAAAAGTCAAGAAATCCATGTATACCTGAGACTCTGGGACAAACTCCCAAATTCGCTGAGGTAGAACCTTATCTGCCATCTTCCTCCTCTTTAACCTGCAGTGCTAGCAGGCATTGGGGGCTGGGCCTGGGGCACAAGCAGGCATTTTCGGAATGGGTCCATCATGGTAGGTGGCATGCCAGATCAAAGTGGAGTACCTATGCCAAATGGGGAACCCGCAAGGGGTTCCACCTACGAGCCAGCCATGGACATCCAGCTCCCTGGTGACATGCCAGGCCACCGGTCCTGCACTACAGGGCCTGCAGAGCCCATGGGGTGGAAGGCAGCAGCCCCAGAGGCCCCTCATACTTCCAGCTGGCCCTGGCCTCCTGAGCACTGGTCCTGGGTTGGCTTGCATAATACTAACTCTTATTCTAGACACAAAGTAACAGATATAAAACCACTCCATAGTCATTACTTTGATTTAAAATTAAGCATGATTCATTATTCTGAAAAATGGTAAATAAAGGAGAGTCAACATTTCCTTCCTTCCTTCCTTCCTTCCTTCCTTCCTTCCTTCCTTCTTCCTTTCCTTTTCCTTCCTTCCTTCCTTCCTTCCTTCCTTCCTTCCTTCCTTCCTTCCTTCCTTCCTTCTTTCTTCCTTTCTTTCTTTCAGAGAGGAAGGGAGAGGGAGAGAGAGATGGAAACATCAATGATAAGAGAGAATCATTGATCGGCTGTCTCCTGCACGCCCCCTACTGGGGATCAAGCCAGCAACTCGGGCATGTGCCCTTAACCAGAATCAAATCTGGGACCCTTCAGTCTGCAGATTGATGCTACCCACTGAGCAACCGGTTAAGGCTACCCTGCTATTTCCATACGAACTATACCCCAGGGCAGCCAAATAGATGCAAGAATAAAAGATTCTAAACTTGAGAGGTTTCTTTTTTTTTTTTTTCCAGCAAAACAAAATAACATATGTTTTTTTTCTTACAAATAAAATAACATGTTTTTCTTAAAACAAAAAACAAGAACACTACATTTTAACTAGGTAACACCTATTTTGTCAGAATGTAATTTGCTGCTAACCCACCTTACTTAAAAAAAAATTATTGTTGGAAGTATTACATATATTCCCCCTTTGCCCCCACTGACCCCTTCTAGCCCACCCCCACCACGTATTTTTTTTTATAAGAGGAATATTCATCAATAAGAATTAACTCAGCAAGTACGGAGACTTTAAGGAATGGCATCTCACCCGGCCAGCGTGGCTCAGGGGTTGAGCATCAACCTATGAACCAAGAGGTCATGATTCAATTCCCCAATCAGAGCACATGCCTGGTTGCAGGCTCGATCCTCAATGTGGGGCGTGCAGGAGGCAAAGAAACAATGATTCTCTATCAACACTGATGCCTCTCTCTCTCTCCCCCCCCCGCTCCTCTCTGAAATCAATAAAAATATATTTAAAAAAAGAAAAAAGAATGGCATCTCTTCCTAGTGAGTCAAATCTCAGAAATGCAAAGGACTCTCTAAACAACCATGGTCTTAGGTATGGAAGCACAGAGATTCATAGGCCTTCTTTCTCTTCATGTCATCAAGACTGACAAAGAAAAGACCTGGTCAACAGCATTAAGTAAAAATGATGACTTAATAAGGTAATGATTCATTCATGAATAAATATTAATAAACACATACTAATAAACTGGGCTAATTGTTATTGAAATATTTTACATTCTTTTTCATTTGTGAGAAAAGCAATTTTGTAAATGTTTTTAAGTCCTCCATATACTACATTTGGCTAAAAAAATTCTCAATACTATATTTTCTAACTTACAAATATTCTAAAACCAGATAGAAAATTTGGGGGAGCCAATATACCTAAACCAAAGATAAAAGCAAATATTGCCTCAACTTTTTGACCTCAAATTACTGAATAAGATGGACTCCTCTGAACTGTATGTTCAATTTGGCAAATGGAGTCACTGCAGTTAGCTACAAAGCAAAACCAGCAGAGTGGGTATACAGGCAGCTATTAATGGGCCACCAGTGGTTTGTCCCACAGTCTCTGAGACACTGAGAGCCCAGTAGTGGACTAGAACCTGACAGTTACTAGGCCAGCAGAGTAGTGATTACAGAGGTTGACAGATAAAAAATTCCAACAAGTTTTATCTATGATAACTATACGGGCAACTTACTGACTATATATATACTTTTTAATTTAAATGTTTGATTATAGGAAAGTTAAAATATATATAAAAATAGAACACTATAATGAACCCCATGTACCATCACTGAGTTTCAATAATTAGCCAATCATGTTTCATTTATACCTTCTACCCACTTACTGGTGCCCATATTACTCTGAAACAAGTTCTAGATCATATCATTTCACCTATAAATATCTCAATACTAGTGGCCTGGTGCACGGATTCATGCACGTTGAAAGGAAATTAATTAGAAGAAATATTTTAATATCACTATTTATCCTTTCTCTATAATAGAAGTGTCAGAGATGAAAGAAAATTAGTAAAATGTACATGAAAATAATATATAAATTCATTAACAAATAAACAATAACATGATATAACAACAAAGACATGAAAATAAAAAGATAAAAAACAACAAAAACATGATATAAAAAAATCAATAAAAACAGTGACTGATAAATTGATTAAACTTATTCTAATATCTCCCTGTATACCACATTAAAAGTAAAAACACTTTCAGAGTGCTTGACTAATTTCCCTTGCAATGATTTACAACTTTAACGTCACATGCTCTTCGAACTTGAGAGAAAGCAACATATAACTCCATTTCGTCGGAGAAATTTAGGGATAGGGAAAATTGACATGTAACACCATGTGTTACATTCCACCACAACTGTGTTCGCTAACTGCATCCTCATTTACCTCATTTTCGCTATGAAGGCAGTTCCTATCAGTACTGGTAGTACTTGTCGATGACTGTTCTTCATACATTTTCTGTCGACGACGCCGGCTTCTTTCAGCTTCAGAGGTACGTTGTGCCAGTCGTTGTTCTTCAGACATATTCTGTAGACGACGTCGCTTTCTTTCAGCTGCAGAGTTACGTTGTGCCAACCGTTGTTCTTCAGACATCATCTGTCGACGACGCCGGCTTCTTTCGGCTTCGGAGGTACGTTGTGCCAATCGTTGTTCTTCAGACATATTCTGTAGACGACGTCGCTTTCTTTCGGCTGCAGAGGTACGTTGTGCCAATCGTTGTTCTTCAGACATATTCTGTCGACGACGCCGGCTTCTTTCGGCTTCAGAGGTACGTTGTGCCAATCGTTCTTCTTCAGACATATTCTGTAGACGACGTCGCCTTCTTTCAGATGGAGAAACATATGGTGGCAATTCTTGGTCGTCAGGCATATTATATCGACGACGACGCTTTATTTGGGGATTGTCCTCGACAATTAGTCTGACAAGAGTCCTCTTTGCACCGTCTTTGTTCTGTGCCCCACTGTGCTTAACAACAGAAGCATAGAGAGCGATGGGCACTGGAGCTGAGACTGGCTCCTGGCTCACAGAAACTGTAGTCGTTTTATCCACTGAATTATCATCTTCAACTTCAGAATCCTCAATGACATCATTGATGATTTTCTGCCATGGCTCCAGCTCCTCCTCCTCACATTCCATAAACAGGTCCGCGTCTGCCATGCTCTCGGTGTCCGCCATGCTCTCGTGGTCGCTGCTGGTAGTCTGACCTGGAGAAGGCACCAGAGAAGGCGCCAGAGAAGGCGCTGTCGCCTTAAAGGGACCTGCACTCGGAGAAGGGGGTGGGAGCAGGGGAGGGGACAGGGGAAGAGGGAACTGTTGAAAGCTCATCTCCCTGAGGGTGCGAGGAAACCTCCCTCGGGCCCTGAGGGTGTGAGGAAACCTCCCTCGGGTTCCAGTGATTTGGGATGGATTTCCCCCCCACCCAGGGGGGCAAGAGGGCCCTGAGGGAGGGGGTGGGAGGGCCAAGGAATGTGGCTCCGTGTATAGGAGCTCTTGAGAGGTTTCTTGTGGCCCTTTTTATGTGACTTTTACTTGGTTTAAAATTTTTGGCACATGAAAAAATATTCAACATTATTAGCTACCAGGGAAATGCATATCAAAACCTCAATGAGCTATCACTTCAACCCAGTAAGATAGTTATAATGAAAAAGACAAGTATTGGTGAGGATGTGGAAAAATCAGAACTCTCATACACTGCTTTTGGAAATGTGAAATGGTAGAACAGCTGTGGAAAACAGTCTGGCAGCTCCTCAAAGGTTAACTATAGAGTTACCATATGATCCACTAATTTTACTCCTTAGGTGGAAAACAAATGGGAACATATGACCACACATAAACTTGTACACAAATGTTCATAGCAGCATTATTCATAATAGATGAAAAGTGGAAACTGCCCAAATGTCTACCAACTGATAAACAAATAAATAGCATGTGGTATACCCACATAATGGAATAGTATAAGGCTATAAAAAGAAATGAAATACTAATACATATTACGACATAGATAAATTCTGAAAATATTTGTTTTCATTTTCTTTATTGATTTTGGAAAGAGAAAAACATTGATTTGTTGTTCCACTTATTTATGCATTCATTGGATAATTCTTGTATGTGCCCTGACTGAGATTGAACTCACAAATTTGGTGTATCGGGATGATGCTCTACCCAAACTGAGCTACCTGGCGAGGGCCTTGAAAATATTATTTCATGAGAAAGAAGCCAGTCTTTAAAGACCACAGATTATATAATTCCATTTAAATGAAGCATCCAGAATAGGCAAATCTAGAGATAAAAAGTAGATCAGTGGTTGCTTAGGGATGGGGGAGAGTTTGGGAGAAATGGAGAATGACTGCTATCAGTACAGGGTTTCTCACTGGGATGATGATAATGTTCCAAAATTAATAGTGATTTTGCACAATTCAGTGAATATACTAAAAACTATTAAACTGTACACTTTACACAAGTGAATTATATAATTTGAATTAAATCTCAATAAAACTTATAAAACAACAACAACAAAAATCTTCCTTACCTTATGTTTAAATGGTAAACACCGCTGAAGTTTTACTCTTAAGCACAGTCCTGTGGAAGGAAAAAAAAAGCCCCAATTATCCCTTCTTACTAGTTCTTGAAAAAGCATACACCTGTGCTTAGGCATCTCCATATAATACAGTAGCTGAAAACAGCTTTGGCTCAATCCATTGTAGGTATCCACTGAACCTCACACCATGCTAGCAACTTTAATATAGATATAGTCTTACATATTCCTTATGATAATCCAGTAAGCTAAATATTATCAATTCCACTCTACAAATTATGAAACCAAGGTCACAATGTTACTTGCCCAAGGTCAATGAACTAATCAAGTGGCAGAGTTGGGATTGGAACCCAAGACCACTGCAAAGCCCAGGACCTTTCTATTATCAATTTGCCTTCAAACAAAAGTGAATTCACTCCTTAAACTCTACTGAATGCCCACAACAGGCCAAATTTAAAAACAAGAGGCACTTAAAAAGGAGCACAAGAAACCTCTCAAAGTTGGAATCCTAGTTTATGCCTACAGGTACAAAGTTGTTTCCCTATAACAAGTTCCTCTGAAGTTCAGTTTATCACCCCAATGCCAAGACACGGTTCTATAATTTTTTCAGTAAATTAAAAATTTTAATTTGTAAATTAAAACTGGGCTTGGAACAGACTCTCAGTGCCAATGTTCCACTTCTCCCCCACCTCAAAATAAGGAATGAAGCCCTGGCCAAGTGGCTCAGTTGGTTGGATCAACAACCTATACACCAAAAAGGTTGTGGTTTCGACTCCCAGTCAGGGCACATAGCTAGGTTGCAGGTTCGATACTCTCTACACCATAAAGTTACTACACATCATGCTAATTGCTACTTTGGGTCAATTATCAGCTAGAATAATTCAGAATTTAAAAATCCTATAAAATGAAAGGGTAATATGCAAATTGACCCTAACCGCGGAACAACCAGGAACAACTGGTCGCTATGACGCGCACTGACCACCAGGGGGCAAACGCTCAACGTAGGAGCTGGCCCCTGATGGTCAGTGCGCTTCTACAGGGGGAGCACCGCTCAGCCAGAAGCCAGCTCATGGATGGCCAGTGCAACGGCGGTGGCAGGAGCCTCTCCTGACTATGCAACAACACTAAGGATGTCTGACTAACGGCTTAGGCCCGCTCCCTCCGGGGGGAGCGGGCCTAAGCCGTTAGTCAGACATCCCCCAAGGGCTCCCGGGCTGCCAGAGGATGTCTGAAGGCCAGCTTAGGCCCAATCCCCCGGGGAGCAGGCCTAAACCTTCAGTTGGACATCCCCCAAGGGGTCCCGGACTGTGAGAGGGCACAGGCCGGGCTGAGGGACCCCCCTCCCCCAAGTGCACGAATTTTCGTGCACCCGGCCTCTAGTATATATGTATGTATGTATGTGAGTATATATATATATATATATATATATATATATATATATATATATATATATATAAATAAAAGCTTACCAATAAGAGTTGCCAAAGAGCAATGAGGTACTGTTGGCGTGAACCTGATAATAACCAAATAGTCCTCTTCATTTATCTCCTGAACCTCCACACAACTTTCCGTTACCACTTCCAGTTCTTCCAAAGTATTGGGCTTCTCTGGGTCCCGAATAGTTCGAATCAAATCTAAAGAATCATCACAGATAAGGTATTATGTAAAAACATGAATATTCTAAATATGGATGATTTTGCCAGTCGTAATCAAAAAGCACACTCTTCTTTATATTTAAGGCAAGCAAATACTAGAGCAAGTCCCCATATTTCTGACAGAAATTTCTACTACCACTTTCCTTTTGAGAAAACTGTTTTCCTGGTTATTAGATCATTTCAGTGTCTTGGATTCAACATTGAAGTGAGAATATAAGAATGGGAAAGCATTATAGAAACTCAAGAGGAAGAAATAACTTTAGCTTAGGAGAATGTAACATCAGGACTTATGGAAGTGGAATCTGAATTAGGCCTTTAAAACGGGTAATATTTCAGCGGCTCTCTCTATGGAGCATGTCAAGCCTTTTCCTAGCCCCTTCCTTCCCCCAGGCACATTTTCCTTACCCCTTTCTCCTAAGCTCTAAGGGCCCTTCTTTTGCCTCTGTAACTTGTTCCTTGAGCCCACACAGCTTAGCTGACACACTTCTTCCACAGCTCACTTCTTCTACCTCTGTGACTTTCTAAATAAACTTTTGCTTGTATCTGACAAAAAATAATTTTAAAATAAAAATAAAAATAGGTGACATTTCAATATTCAATATTTAAAGTGAAAGAAAGTAAAGAACCAGAAATTTAGTTTGCCTGGAACCCAGCATACCAGTAAATGAAGAGATATGAGAGTTTGAGCCAAACCATGAAGGATCTTTTGGGGTCACTATAGACAATAGGATGACTTCAGGAGGTTTTGAACGAGGGAGTGACATGGAAAGCATTACACTGTCAATTGGTAACTCATCCACTAGCTGATAGGCACAGAACTAAAGAGCAGAGTCAGGGATACCAGCTGAAAAAGTTGGGCCTATAACAGTCATATAACAATGGTGACAGACAGAGGAAGAATTTCTGTGGCAGAATCAACAGAATTTGACAACTGGTTAAATGTAGAAGGGAAGGGAGAAAAGGAACATGACTCCGATTTTTCTTTTAAATCCTCACCCAAGGATATGTTTATTAATAAGAGAGAGAAAGAGAGAGAGAGAGAAAGAGAGAGAGAGAGAGAGAGATCAATTGGTTGCCTCTCTTATGTGGATTGAACTCGAAACCTATGTATGTGCCCTGATGGGGAATCAAACCTGCAACCTTTTTGATACACGGGAGGATGCCCCAATCAACTGAGCCACCCCTCCAGGGCGATGACTCATATTTTAAGTGTAAGTGTCTGGGAGAACACTGATAGAATAAAACTACAGCGAACACAGAAATAAATTTGGGGGCTGGGGCAAATAGTTTTAATTTTATATATGCTTTTGCTTCAGAAGCAAACCAGTGGTACATTCCAGTAAACACGTGCTTGACGTAAGGTTTAAGAGAGAGCATCAGGCTAGAGTGGTTGTTGAGCCTATGAAATTCACAAGAAAGAATGAGTAGAACAGTAGTTTTCAACCTTAGCTGAACAATGGTACCACCAGGAATCCTTTAAAAAAAATAAAAACTGATGGAAGAACAAGAGGAGAACCAAGATGGTAGCATAGGTAACTGTGGTACTTACCGCCTCCCACACCACATAAAAATTACAACTAAAATACAGGAACAACCATCATTCAGAACCGCCTGAAAGCTGGCTGAATGGAAGTCCTACAACTAGAGAAGTAAAGAAGAAAGCACATAAAGACTGGTAGGAGAGGTAGAAGCAGGGAACGGACTGGTCTGACACCTACATGTGGCTTTTTTTTAATGGGGAGAGATATCTCCGCTGCCTCACATGAGAAGCAAGGGGTCCCAGCCCCACACCAGACCTCCTGCCCAGGGTTCCAGAGCTGGAAAGAGAAGTCCCCGTAACTTCGGGCTGTAAAAACCAGCAAGGATTGTGGCTGAGTGACAACCCACAGGCTGCTGGAGTCCCACACAGTTCCTCTTAAAGGTCTAGCACACAAACTTATATGGTCCTGCTTCCTCTGAGCTCCAGGAACTGGATTGTCTGGCATCAGGGCAGAGACTCAGGAGCAGCTTTCTTCCAAACAGGGGTGCTCACAGGGGTCATTGCACTGGGACCTTCCCCATAGTGGAGCTGAGTGGCAGCCCTATCTGAGTTTCCATCAGCCTGGCTCACACTGTTTACTTCACCTTGTTGATTCCCTGAGACTCCACCCCATTCAATTTGCAGCCCCACCCAAGCTGCTTGTAGTAAATTTTCCATATGAATGGCCTATCCTGGCTTCGTCTTCAGATTTTGCTAAATCTCTCAAACAAGCAGCAGCTGACATCAGTGTGCTCCATACCTATCAATAAGAGGCCCAAGACAGTTTGGCCTCAGCTTGGGCATTTCTGGGCCTTAAACATGTGGCAGCCATATGCTGGTCACTCTGTGGCTCCTGCCAGGTGGCATGTAACTTTGCACCTCCTAGGAGACCCCAGAGCCAGTGCAACCCGGTGGACAACTTCAGACCATAACAGATTACAATTCTACACAATCACAAGCGACACACTCGAGGGGCAGACTCAGTAAGCACCAAAGCCCCACTGAAGCAAGTCCTGCTCCATAGGGGTGTCTCCTGCACAGCAGCTCTTCTGCTGTAATCACAGCAGGTCCTCACAGCCAATTGGCCTGGAGGGCAATTCCTACCAGTGACGCCAACGGCAATCAAGGCTCAACTACAAGACTATGCACACAGCCCACACAGGGATGCACCTAGAGTGTCCAGCTCAGGTGACTGGGGAGGCTGAGCCAATGATCCCTACAGGACACCTACTACACAAGGCCACTCTACCAATCACAGGAGACATAGCAGCTCTACCTAATACATAAAAACAAACACAGGAAAGCAGCCAAAATGTGGACACAAAGAAACATGTCACAAATGAAAGAAATGGAAGCAAGCAAACTACTGGATACAGAGTGCACACAATGGTTATAAGGTTACTCAAGAATCTTAATGAGAGCTTCAAGGGACTTAATGAGAGCTTCAAGGGACTTAGTGAGACTTTCAAGGATCTTAGTGAGAATTTTAAAGACATGAAAAAAGACCAGTCAGAAATTAGGCATACACTAACTGAAATAAAGAATGATTTACAGGGATTCAATAGTAGAGGAGAGGATTCTGAGAATCAAATCAATGATTTGGAATATGAGGAAGCAAAAAACACCCAAATCAGCAGAGCACAAAGAAGAAAAAAAATATATAAAGATAGTGTAAGGAGCATAACTCAAGCATACCAACATTTGCATTATGGGGGTACCATAAGGAGAAGAGAGAGAGCAAGATACTGAAAACCTATTTGAAGCCCAGCCAGCATGGCTCAGTGGTTGAGCATGGACCTCTGAACCAGGAGGTCACAGTTCGATTCTGCGTCAGGGCACAAGCCCAGGTTGGGGGCTCGATGCCCAGTATGGGGCATGCAGGAGGCAGCCAATCAATGATTCTCTTCCATTATTGACTAGAGGCCTGGTGCATGAAATTGTGCATGGGTAGGGTCCCTAGGCCTGGTCGGCAATCAGGGCCTATCAGGCCTTGCTTCCCTCAGCTGCCGGCTGCTGGCTGGGGCCTTCCTTCCCCCAGCTGCCAGCTGCTGACCGGGGTCTTCCTTCCCCCAGCTGTCAGCTGCCAGCTAGAGCCTTCCTTTGTTCTGTGCCACCTCCTGGTGGTCAGTGCATGTCATAGCGGGTGTTGAACTCCCAAGGGGACAATTTGCATATTAGCCATTTATTATATAGGATATTTCTATCCCTCTCTCCCTCTTCCTTCCTCCTTTCTGAAATAAAAATATTTTTTAAAAAGAAAATATATATTTGAAGAAATAATGACAGAAAATTTCCCTACCCGGTAAAATAGACTTACAAGTCCAGGAAGCACAGAGAGTCCCAAACAAGAGGAACCCAAAGAGGCCGACACCAAGACACATCATAATTAAAATGCCAAGGGTTAAAGACAAAGAGAGAATCATAAAAGCAGCAAGAAAAAAGCAGTTGCCTATCTACAAGGGAGCATCCATATGACTGTCAGCTGATTTCTCAACAGAAACTTTGCAGGCCAGAAGGAGTGGCAAGAAATATTCAAAGCAAGGACCTACAACTAAGATTACTCTACTCAGCAAAGCTATCATTTAGAATTGAAGGTCAAATAAAGAGCTTCACAGACAAGAAAAAGCTAAAGGACCTAACTGGTTTGGCTCAGTGGATAGAGCGTCGGCCTGCGGACTGAAGGGTCCCAGATTCAATTCCAGTCAAGAGCATGTACCTTGGTTGCGTGCACATCCCCAGTAGGGGGTGTGCAGGAGGCAGCTGATCGATGTTTCTCTCTCATTGATGTTTCTAACTCTCTATTCCTCTCCCTTCCTCTCTGTAAAAAAATCAATAAAATATATATTAAAAAAAAAAAAAAGAAAAAGCTAAAGGAGTTCATCACCACCAAACCAGTATTACATGAAATGTTGAAATGTTTAATAGAAAGAAAAATAAAATATGAACAATAAAATGGCAATAAATACATATATCAACAATTGAATCTAAAAATCAAAATAAATAAACAAGAAATCTAATGAACAAATTACACTGATAACATAAAACCAGAGGCATAGAAACACGGAACAGACTGACAAATCTCAAAGGGAAGGAGGGTAGGGGTGGGAAGAGATTAACTAAAGATCCTATACACATATATGTATTACCTATGGACACAGACAATAGGGTGGTGAAGGCCTGGGGTGGGGTGGGAACTGGGTGGAGGGGGGCTATGGAGGGGAGAAAGGGGAATATTTGTAATACTCTCAACAATAAAGATTACAAACAAAAAATTAATATCTGAGTCCTACCACCAGATAGTCTGTGTAGTATGGCCTAGGCCAGTGATGGCGAACCTATGACATGCGTGTCAGAGGTGACACGCGAACTCATTTTTTTGGGTGATTTTTGTTAAATGGCATTTAAATATATAAAATACATATAAAAAATATAAGTCTTTGTTTTACTATGGTTGCAAATATCAAAAAATTTCTATATGTGACACGACACCAGAGTTAAGTTGGGGTTTTTCAAAATGCTGACATGCCGAGCTCAAAAGGTTTGCCATCACTGGCCTAGGCATTGAGATTTTAAGAAATTCTTCAGGTTATTATATGTAGCCCAGGTTGAAAATCACTAACGTAAGAGACCCAAGGATAGATCTGTGAAAGCACCTAATTTAGCATCAGGAGGAAGAAAAACAAGAAGCAGAGAAGTAAAGACAGGGGTGGTTAACAACATCAAATGCTGCAGAAAAATTCAGGTTGACAAAGAGCTAAAACAGGTCTTTGTCACCTAGGAGATCAACCGTAAGAAAGCAGTTTCAGTAAAGATGAAGGCAGAAGCCAGCTTGCAAAAGGGGAAGTGGGTGGGAACTGAAAATGTAGTTCTACAACATTGGCAGGGAAAGGAAGGGCAGAAGAGGGACATTGGGTTTAGAAAAAACTAGAACAATGACAAGGATAAGGGAAACTTGAGTATGTTTTAGAGTCCAAAGAGAAGGACCAAAAAGAGGAAGAGAGCCCTAACCGGTTTGGCTCAGTGGATAGAGCGTCGGCCTGCGGACTCAAGGGTCCCAAGTTCGATTCCGGTCAAGGGCATGTACCTTGGTTGTGGGCTACATCCCCAGTGGGGAGTGTGCAGGAGGCAGCTGATGGATGTTTCTCTCTCATCTCTCATCAATGTTTCTAACTCTCTATCCCTCTCCCTTCCTCTCTGTGAAAAATTAATAAAATATATTTTTTTAAAAAAAAGAGGAAGAGAGACTGAAAATTTGAGGGGATGTGGAGAGACTGGTAAAATAAGCAGAAGGGAGTGAGACCAAGGATGTGGGAACCTGGGTTGGCCTTGGGAGAGGATAGATTTCCTTCTAACTCTAAGGCTGTACAGAAAGACACAGAAAAAAAAAAAAAAAAAGAATTATAAAGAGAAATGGTGAAGTAGAAAGGACAGAAGCAGGGAGTTCAGAGAATGGGCTTGATGTTCTCAAGACTGAGATTTTGTTCTATTATTTACTAGTATAGCACTCCTGCCATCAGAAATACAGCTGGGAAAAACACATCAATCATATTTACTTCCTCCATAGCAACTCCTGGGCTTATCACTTGATTAGAAACAGAATTTGAAAATAGAGGCAGGAAAAAGAGGACACAGCTTCTCCTTCACAAGGCTGTGTCATCACGGAGCTCAGGGAAACAAGGTTTTTTGAAAGGGATTTTGCTACCCCTCATCCTAGGCCTTTTTCCTGTAAGGCTCATTTATACAGGCTGCAGTATAGTCTTTATATGCTACTTAGTCCTGAAATTAAATCTCCCCCTTTATTAAACATCTCCAGTTTTCTAGTAATTTGAGAGATTTGGACTTATTTCTTTTAGAAAGAAAGCAATGTTGCTCTAGCTGGTTTGGCTCAGTGGATAGAGCGTCAGCCTGCAGACTGAAGAGTCCCAGGTTCGATTCCGGTCAAGGGCATGTACCTGGGTTGCGGGCACATCCCCAGTAGGGGGCATGCAAGAGGCGCTGAATCGATGTTTCTAGCTCTCTATCCCTCTCCCTTCCTCTCTGTAAAAAATCAATAAAATATATTTTTAAAAAAAAAAAAAAGCAATGTTGCTCTCCTCACATTAACCCCCTGAATAAAATTCTTCTATGGTTCTGGACTGATATAAAATCTTCATTTATGATATAGACTTTGTCATTAAAGAAATTGATATACCAAAAATAGTCATTTATATGTAAACCTTCAGTATCCAATTCCAACCTGTTATCTAAAACAATTTTTGACCCTACCTACCACTTTTAACCACAAACTCTATCCTATCCACCTATCTGCCATTCCCCAAACATGCCATTTTCTCACCCCCATCCTTTTGCTCTAGTTTCTTGTTTAGTATGCTCTCTACCCTTTATATGTCCAGATCCTACTAATTCTTCAAGGCCCAACTCAAGTGATTCTTTCTCCTTAAAGTCTTTCCAGATCCCAAATCAGAAATGGTATCTCCCAATCACTAATGGTATCTCTCTTTCCTTTGAATTTCTGTATCTCTCAGGTCTATGGCCTTCTACTGCAATATATATATATATATATATATATATATATATATATATATATATATATATATATATATATATATATATATATATAATTTGTCCCCCTCAATGTAAGTTTGAAGACAAAAATCATCTCTCTCCCTTCCAAAGCTGTGTCCCCTGTGCCCTGCTGTCACTAGCAACTGTAGAGACCTGACAGGACAAAAAAGCATCCATCAGTTTCCTGGAGGTCATTCCACTCCTGTCAATCATCTAGGAAGGTTGATTAGGTCCTGCCTCTGGCAAGACAATGGTAAACTAGACCAGCTCCATCACGAGCTTCCGTCTCCTAGCCTATAATCCTTACTATATTATATTTTTATTCTTATGGTTCTTTCTTTACCCTCAGTCAGCAGAAATCTCTCAACGTTAGTTAGATCCACTCTTTTTAGTTTTCAAAAAACAATACTAAAAGAATAGTCATAAGGCCCTTGTGAAGTGGTGGAAAGTGCACTAAATTTGGAATCAGAAGACATGAGCTCTACCCTTTTCCCTTACTAGCAGTGTGACCACCAGGTAGTTGTGTAGCCACTCTAAACTTTTGTTTCCTCACCTGTACAATGAAGGTGGCCCCAGGGGTTAAAAAGAGAAGTGTGTGTGTGTGTGTGTGTGTGTGTGTGTGTGTGTGTGTGTGTGGTTTTTTGTTGTTGTTGTTGTTTTTGCATTCCAGGTTTGGCTGTGTTAAGTTCGAAGACCGGCTACGAGGAACCTATCTCGTCTTCTCTTGGGGACCTCTGCCTATTGCCTTTGCAGTACAGAGAAGTGGCTGTGACCTTGGGCCAGTCCCCAACTTGGCAGTCACACACCAGCGCCCTCAATGGTAGCAGGAGCGCGTATCAGGGATAGGAAAGAGGCTCAAGGAGCGCACCCAGGCCAGCTTGTTTCCTAAACAAGCACCGTCGGCGCCAGCTCTGCCACTAGGGCGTGGAGCAGACAAGGGAAATGAAGCGTTGAAGACTTCCAGACTTGGCTTGCCCAGGTCTAGGATGAGCCCAGGTCCTAGAAAGACCCATAATGCCGCGTGACTTAAAACCCCCAAGAAAACGCTTCCCACGCTCCCCAGCGGATCCGGCAAAAGCCCGAGGCGCCCCTCCCAGCCCTCAAGTGAGGCCCTCGTTTACCCACAGCCTCCACGTAGAACGCCGAATACTGCCCTAGATAAAATTAATTACCATAAACCTCTAGCGCTTTCTCTTCCATGATCCGGGGCTGCCGGTCAGCTCCCCGCTCAAAGAGGCCCGAGAGCCACAGGACCCTGCTCAGCGTCCAGGAGAGCAGCCCCGACACCCGCTTCATCATCACGCTCCGCCATCCCTGGCGACTGTCCCACCCGAGCCGCCGTCTTTCCGCGGCGGGCCTCGCGATTTATCAACTTCCTGGTTTCCAAACGGGCCGAGACCAACCTAAGTGTCCAGGGGAGCAGGGAATGGGCGGGTCCGGAGAGAGTAGCGCGGGGGACCAAGGGAAAAGGCGCAAACCCCAAGGACCACAAACCCCATCATGCTTTGCTCGGTTTCCGCGAGACTGGAGAGGAAAGAAAAAAATTCCTCGCCGCACGTGAGGCGCATTGCATGCTGGGACGTATGGGTCGTTTTCTTCGGAAGACAGCTGTGTTCTGGGACATGTAGTCTTCGACGGGGAAGGGCGTCGGCATGTAACGGTCAATTATCCACTACTGATTTCCTCACTCAGCGCCCTCTATAGACTAAGGATGACTAAAGATGAATCCTGAAGAGGTAGGGGAAAGGAGATCTTTTTTTTTTTTTTTTTAATATATTTTATTGATTTTTTACAGAGAGGAAAGGAGAGTGATAGAAAGCCAGAAACATCGATGAGAGAGAAACATCGATCAGCTGCCTCCTGCACGCCCCCCACTGGGGATGTGCCCGCAACCAAGGTACGTGCCCTTGACCAGAATCCAACCGGGGACCCTTGAGTCCGCAGGCCGACGCTCTATCCACTGAGCCAAACCGGTTCTGGCGGGGAAAGGAGATCTTGATATCTAGTCCTGGAGAAGCGTGTGCACGGAGACTCCTACTGTTATTTCTCCAAGGGAGATTTTACTTCCTTAGGCCGGAAGTGAGTTTCCCTGGCTGCGAAACAGGATGGCCTGGGAGCCCAGTGAAGGATGGTTAGATATGGCTAGTTTTCTCATCTTAGAGGAATTTAGGCCAGCAAAACTCCCCACTACAGACTGAATATTTTTGCCAGTTGCCTTCAAAGACAACTAAGGAGAGCTTTCCCAGTGTCTAGTGCATCCAATAGTGACCTTGGAGATCACCATCCTAGAAAGGATGTCCTAAATCCTCTGGCGTTCGTGGCCTTGATGGTTGCGAGTAACAAGGTTGATGTTAGAGTTTTATCCATCCATCCCTCCAATCAAATCGCAAACATTTATTGGGTATTTAATTTGCCAGACTTGGTCTGTAGGCGTCAAGGCTTGGACAGGGCCCCGGCCTTCCAGCAGCTAACAGATCTACGAGGGAGCCAACCCCTGATGTTGAGGAATTTGCAGTTAGAAACAAACTAAACCTTTTGTCAAAGGCGATGCCAAGTTTTTTCTCATCTTTACTGAGAAGAAAGTCAGGATTGTCCTGCAGAATTATCCCACAATAAACTATCCCATTTATCTTATCTAGCTGATTTAGTCTTTAGGCTCACCAGACAACCAGTGAATTGTTTAAGTCCCAAGAAAATTTTGTTTAGAGTTTAATAATTTCCCTGTTTCACTTCACATACTCCACAGCAATTGAGAGGAGAATCCTAACTTCCTGGCAACCAGATTTAGGACACTGAGGTTTCACTTCTGTGAGGCCTCCTGACTTCAACAAATAGAATTGATGATCTCTTTTACTGTGCTGGCACAGCAAATTATAGCAGTGAATCTGCTGAGTAGTTCATTTACATGGCCTGCAGCACCTACTGGGCCAGGAGCTTCTTTATTTCTATGTCTCAGATGTATAGCATGGTGCCAGGCACACAGTAGATGCTCAATACATATTTCTTGAATTAACTAAATGTTGTCCAAAGAATACATGGCAAGGCTTTACTGCAATCTGTTCGGAGACCTGCTTCAGTTTGCAGACACCTTTATCCAGACGACATCTCCTTAAGAAGCCTGTTAGATAAAGCTATGCAGAGCTCAAAGGGCTCTAGCAACCTGAGCAGCCCCTGGCCCTTCCCTTTCTGCCCCTTAGCTCTCTTGGTGGAAGAACTCAGCGCTGCGATCCAGGGATCAGATTTGCTGGGGCGGGAGCGGTGAGCCAGCGCCTAAGCTCCGCCCCCAGCGCCTAAGCCCCGCCCCCAACGCCTAGGCCCCCGCCCCGGCGCGTTCCGCGGGGGTTGGTAGTGGTCATCCCACTCCTCGCTCCGCTAGGACGATTTGCTCGCGGCGCTTTCTCTCTATAAAGTTGTTGTTGCGGCTTCCGCCGCGGGTGGAGGAAGATGGCGTCGGGTGGTGGTGGCTGTAGCGCTTCGGAAAGACTCCCTCCGCCTTTCCCCGGCCTGGAGCCGGAGTCCGAGGGGGCGGCCGGGGGTTCAGAACCCGAGGCTGGGGACAGCGACACTGAGGGGGAGGACATTTTCACCGGCGCGGCGGTGAGTTCGCACCCTTGGGGGCGGCCAGGGGGGGCGGGCGGGCGCCCCGAAAGGACAGAGAGGCTAAGTGAGGGTCGGGGAGGCTGGGCAGAGTGGGCCCGGCGCTGGTGGCAGTCGTCGTGGCTTGGGGGCGCTAGATGGACGCCGGGACGAAGAGCCTGGCCTCCCGGCCTCTGCGCGGACAGTGAGGAGAAGTGAGGGGTGTGGTGGCTTCTCGGCCGAGGTCCCTGACTGCGAGGAACCGCCGGGACTGGCATTGGGCCCTGCCCTGGAGTGACCCCACGGACTCGCGGAGCTGTCTGCCGGTCATTGTCTGCGGGGCTGACTTAGGAGGGCAAGGGAAGTGCATGGGCGCAGACTTGCTCTCGCCTACTGCTCCGAGGATGAATATGTTATCTGAGGTGGCCCGGAGAGTGATCCGCCCACGGATCCTTTCCTTCGCTCAACACTTACCTTTAATTACAAAGGATCTTTCTGGATCTTGGCTAATTTTATGAGTTAGGTTGACTCCTCTGAGCTCTAGGAAAATCCTGCCAGAAGTCGTTTGGGGGAAAAAAGGGGCCTGCCAGAGAAATCTCTGCATATGCCACAAGCTTTGTCTCTTTCAAAGGCATCTCTTAAAGGCCTAAGGATCTTTCTGGGAGCAGCTCTGTAAATGTGAGGAGGAAATGGTGTCTACCATAGTGATATCCAGGTTTCGAATAAGAGTTCAGAATTGGGGAAAACTAATCTTTGTATGTGAAATGTGGAGATCAGTTATCAGTTCTGGAACTAGTGGAGGTGTTTTGGGGTGTTCTGTGAGACTGTTGACCCCTACCACTTGGTAGAGCTCTTTCCAGGTTGAAAACGTCTTCAGCCTTAGGCCTGTGAGTTTATGTATCTGTCTTGGATAATGCTTCTCCTCAGAGTAACTACTCAGTATGTGAGTGACCAAGTAATAAAACAGCTTTACATTCTTTATGCACTGTGTGTTTGAAACAGTTGGAGCTTGTCTCATTTGCCAGTATGAGGGTTCAGAACGAGTCACCCCAAGATGTGCCTCCGTGGTATGCAGATTGTTTTGAGCTAAAAGCAACTTTAGCCTCTGGCTCAAAAGCAATTTCTGGCCCTAACCGGTTTGGCTCAGTGGATAGAGTGTCAGCCTGCGGACTGAAAGGTCCCGGGTTCGATTCTGGTCAGGGGCATGTACCTTGGTTGCGGGCACATCCCCAGTGGGAGGTGTGCAGGAGGCAGCGGATCGATGTTTCTATCTCTCTCCTTTCTTTGTAAAAAAAATCAATACAATATATTTTTTTAAAAATTTCTGCCCCTACCTAAAATAACTTGAATTAGGGGCCTTCCCCATAGGCGCAGATTATCAGAGATAACCTCATGATTTATGTATTGGGCAGGACAAACCTCTGTTTACTAAGCATCTACTCTTATCCTGCAAAGACCCTTTGAAGCCCCCAAGACACCTTACCTCATCCCTAGCTCAGGATGTCTTATATACCCATGTTCCTTTTCTATCTCTGAACTTTATCTGCATGTGGGGTCTCTGACTCTCTCATGTATGCAGGGGTTCCCATACATATTAAATTTGGTTATTTTCTCTTGCTAATATGTCTCGCATATATTTGACCAGCCAAAAGAACCTTGAAGGTAGAGAAAAATTTGTTCCTCCCCAATATCAGAAAAAGGTTAAGTTTCTTGGAAATATCTTCTATGACAATCATTAGAATTTACCCCGTATTGTGTCCAGGAATTGAGTCCATAATTCCAGCTCAAAAAGCATTTGTTGCCCTGGCCAGTGTGGCTCAGTTAGTGAAAGCTTCGTACCATGTACCAAAGGGTCGCAGATTTAATTCCGAGTCAGCGCACATACCCAGGTTGCAAGTTCACGTGTACGGCAACCAGTCATTGTGTCTCTCTCACATGATGTTTCTCTCTCCCCTCTCCCTTCCCCTCTCTCTAGAAGAATCAATGAAAGCATATCCTTGGATGAGGATTTCACTTTTAATTAAAAAAAAAAAAAAAGAAAGCGTTTGCTGATGCTAATATAACAGCTCAGACTGTTTAGTGAAGTCTCTTATTCTGAGAAATAACTCTTGCTGCGAATTTAGTCTTTCTGTAGCCCATTTAATAAGGATCTTTAGTCTTTTCCTTTAGTAATTCTCCCATACACCATGGTGAATAGCTCCTGGGGTGGTAGATATTTAGACTGACTATCTCAAAATAGAAACTCTGGCACTGAAAGTGATTCATCATATAGACAAATGATGACTTATTTTTTTAAAAAAGGACCCTGGGAGGGTGAGGAGTTATTTTCTAGAGTTACCTTAAAAAGTTCAAGAGGCTGTGATTTGATTTAACCAGATTACTGTACAAATGCATCAATACTTCTCTCTTAAAAGACTAAAAATACTTTGCCGAACTTCCAACTAAGGGGAAAAGGAGGGGGTTAGAATGGCCTTGTTGTACCACATAAAGCATAATTATATTTTAGATTTTGATTCAGGAAAAATGACTTGCTGAGGAAACTAAAATGCTACTTGTAAGCCACTTTTTGAGCTGCCTGTTCTGCTGTTTATCTTCAGGAAGCCAAGACCCCTCCCTATCTGTGAATTTCTACTTAAATAGCCATTAAATACAAGTTATATTTCAATACATGCTTTAGTTGTGAGCCAATGTGAAAAGATAGCACATTGCACTGACTCTGTATCTTAAGGAACAACACTGAAGAAGAAAGTAATTAGGAGCACCGGCGTTGAAGTCTCATTTAAATCCAGGCTCTGTTATTTGCTAGCTTAACCTCGGACAAGGAACTTAATTACTCTGTACAATTCCCTCACCTATAAAATGTGAATAATAATGGTATTTACCTCCACTGTTTTTTATGAAGATTGAATTAGAATATGTACCTGTAAAACAATTGAGCATTTTGTAAACTGAAATTAAAGAATTAAAAAAGTCCACTAAAATCTAATAATGGATTACAAAGTTAAATTCATTCTGAATGATTAACATATTTTGTCAAAATCAAACTAGTAAAGTTGATTTGCTTGGCTAGAAGTCATCAAAGTAGACATCTTACTGATTTAAGTTTATCTTCATATTGTGTTTTGTTGCATGTTGGAGGCAAAGAGAGGAGCATTAAAGAATTGAAAAGCTAAGGCATATAAAATTTAAAAAGTCATTTATGATATGTGTGTAATTTCCTGAACATTGATGTAACAGCTGCTGCTGTTAATCATCCCATCTGTTCTCTTTTACAGCCCAAGAGGCTTTGTTAATACAGTAATAAAAGTGTGATTTGATTTATAATCAAAAGGGCAGCCCATGATAATAATGCATCTAAGAATCTACAAGGAGAAACTGGAGTTAAAAGAATTATTAAAATAAATCTGAAGTCATTGCATTAAGACTGAAAACCAGCATGTGGAAAATCGGATTCTTATGAATATGTAAGAATACATATTCTGCCTCCTACCTTATGGGCCTCTGAATAAAAAGGTCTAAAATTCTAAATATTTTATCTGAATTTTTTTTGTGGACCTGAATCCAAATATGTATCTTTTTAGTTAAAACATTCTTAGTTCTGGAATAGGATTAATTTTTTCTCTAATAAAACTGGAGACTAAATTGGAACCATTCTTTTGGCTCTCTTCATTCTTTTTTTTTTTTTTTTTTTTTTTATTTCAGAGAGGAAGGAAGAGGGAGATAGAGATAGAAACATCCATGATGAGAGAAAACCATGGATCGGCTGCCTCCTTCAAGTCCCCCACTGGAGATCGAACCCACAACCCAGGCATGTGCCCTTGACCAGAATTGAACCTGGGACCTTTCGGTTTGCAGGCCAATGCTCTATCCACTGAGCCAAACTGGCTAGGGCTATATTCACATTTTTGTGAAATATATCTCCAGAACTTTTTCATCTGCGTTTTTGAAACTATACTCATTAAAAAATTTCCCCTTTCCCCTATCCCTCCACTCTCTAGTAACTACCATTTTACCTTCTGTTTCTATGAATTTGACTGCTTTAGATAACCTCATATAAGTGGAATCATGCAGTATTTGTCTTTTTGTGACTGGTTTATTTTACTAAGCATAATATCCTCAAGGTTCATTCGTTTTGTAGCATGCATCAGAATTTCCTTTTTAAGGATGAAGAGTATTCCATCATATCTGTATATATACCACATATTTATCAGTTCATCTTCAATGGACATTTGGGTTGCTTCTACCTCTTGGCTCTTGTGAATATGAATGTGCAAAAATCTCCTCAAGACTCTGCTTTCCAATTCTTTTGAATATATACCCAGAAATGGAATTGCTGAATAATAGGGTAAAGAACCTCCATGCTGTTTTCCATAGAAGTTGCACCATTTTGCAGTCCCCTCTCAGCTCTTTTTAAAGACCAGTTTATTTCCCATTTGAGTGCTCATAGGATAACTTATTTATATCTGGACAGAATTTGGTAATTTTATTAAAAGCCCTAAGGAGAGTGATGGTTAATACCTTAATTTTCTGTTCTATGAAATATATGATGACTGTTCCCAAAGGCATACTATATATAGTAAGTTTCTTGATACTATCCCTTCTCTGTTCTTAACCAGCTGAAAGTTAATCTACACAATAGTAATTTTTAAATTGATTTTAGAGAGAGACAGAGAGGCAGAGACATCAATTTGTTGTTGCACTTATTTATGCATTCATTGGTTGATTCTTAAATGTACCTTGAACAGGGATCAAACCCAAAATTTTTGCATATCAGGACGATGCTCTAACCAACTGAGCTACCTGGCCAGGGCTACATAATAATAATCTTAAACATAGGTTTATTGCTTATGTTCTTTAGTTAATGTAATAAGATGTAATCATTTACAACTTATATTAGTAAATATAGTCATGGGTAAATGTTCTTTGGTGTAGTATATTTTTCTTTCTTTTTGTGTATAGTATTTTCTGTAGGCATATTGTCTCAAACACTTGTTTTTGGAGCTAACATCACAGGTAGTCAG